CTTAGTGCTGGGATTACAGGCATGGGCCACCACACCTGGCTTTGGGTAAACTGAGGCAGGAGGATCGCTGTGAGTTCGAGACCAGCCTGGGCTACATAGTGAGTTCCAGGTCAGTCTCAACTACATAGTGAGACCCTGTCTCAAAAACAAACAAAAATTCTGTAAACGAGGATGACAATATGCTTTCCTGAGACGTTTAGCTCAGTGTCTTTTATAGCTTTACTGTCTCCTCAAATAATGTCCTTTGTCAGTCTCTGCTTGTCTCCCCGTCCCCCTCCCGGCGCCTGGGAGTGTGTGTCTATTGTTTTACTGGTTTCCTTTTCCGGTCCCTGTGGACAGTCATTTCCCACCCCATTTTCTCCTGGTCTTCTCCCGCCCCCACCTATTTCTCTGCCGCGTTCACTTTTTATTTTTCTGTGAATCACAGCTTGGCCCCTCCCCCACCTTTATCTCTGTCCTTCATCTGTCTTTTCCTTACTTTCTTTCCTTCCAGATATAACATTTGCAGCCTGTAACATCCAGAGGCAGACAATGGGGAACTATCCAGCCTCCACTGAAAATTCATTCTTAATATGATGAAAAATGTATCGGAAAACGAATCGCACTGGTAAACAAAAACCTGGGTCCTTGGCTTTGGCATTCAGCTCGCGAGCAGAATAGTGCGGCGACGTGTGGTACAAATGATCATCACATCCTTGACAACAACGGATTTCCAATCACAATCACCTGGTTTACAGTACAAAAAAATGTAGCCCCTACCATTTTACTATAAAATGTGGAAATCACAACCCCTTGCCAGGAAGAAAACATAGCGTCCCTGGGTGGGCTCGAACCACCAACCTTTCGGTTAACAGCCGAACGCGCTAACCGATTGCGCCACAGAGACAGTGGTAGTTGCTGGGGTGGCAGAGAGCCGAGTCAATGGGAGGGAGGCCGGCATGGCGCGGGGCAGGGACTGCGACTCCGAAATGCGGCGAAAGAAACCCGACCAAGCATAGGACTCGAGCGCGGGCTGCGAGGAGTCTGCGCCACCAATCCGCGGGATGCACTTTGTTTGCGGAGAGGCCAGAATGTTTTGTCGGGTTATCTGAAACTCGAGGCCGCGTTAAGTCGACTTAAAAGGGGTCCCCCGAAGCAGAACCACCCCTGGCCTCCCGTGTGCAGCCGGACCCTTAAAGACACCGGACACGCAGGACGCCCTCGCCTCCCCCTAGCAGCATCGTCCAGTTCCACTCTGAGCGCCTCCCAGAGACCAGGCACTGTCCCGGCCAAGTGAATAACTCAGCCTCGAGCGCGCCTGGCTCTCAGGAGCCCTACGCCTTTCAGGAATGAATGAAGCAAGGAGGGTGAGCAGCAGGCCAAGGGGAGCGCGCGGACAGGCGCCACTGCGGCCCTCCAGCTAGGGCCTTGGCCCCCGCCCCGCTTCGCCTGCCCA